GTATTGGTTCCTCTTTCACATATGTTTGTTTGTGTTTTTTGACCAATTAAGAAACACTTAAACTTGAGGTGGTCGTGCAGCAAAAGTGCAAATCCAAAATGAATTGACTAATCACTACCGCTAGTTAGAGCTCTGAAGAAAATATATACTGCTGCTTAAAAATCGATTTCCAGAAACCAGTTATTGTACCCTAATTACCTTTGTTGGATCGGTTAGAATTGCAATGAAGTGGAAAAGATCTCAATTATACATGGAGAAGAAATTAGAGTAGATGATAACTTACACAACGCAAAAATAATATTCAGATCATAGACACAGTCAGAATTTTTAGCTTAGGGGTGAAAAAAATTTAATACATAACAATACAATTAATGAAACAAAGAAAGTGTATCAAAATATAATACCAAATTCAAAATATTATAACTAGCAACCGAATGCTTTAGATTCTAACCCAAAAAGAAAAAAAAATGGTTTTGGAAACACATGAAACTAAAAAGTAGTTCAAACCAAAACCACTCATATTTTGTTTCAATTGTTAAGAAGATTTTATTTGGATTGTTAGTAGCATTATTTCGTTCTTGGTATTGATCGTGTGGGATTAATTCTTTAGCCTTTTCAGTTTGCTTAAGCAAGTTTTAGGAAATTAGATAGTGTAGAAGTAGTTCATAATGGGGATTTATGTGACAAAAATAAAGAAGCATAGAATTAGTAGGTCCCAATCAGACCATTGAGAGACATAACAATTAATAAATAATCAATAAATAAATGTCTGTACGTATTGTTAATTGTTATTTCTCATGCTAGTTCCTTGCAATTAATCAAATTTTGATAATAATTAAAGGGACTAATTCCACTTTGTACTCTTAAACTTGTACCACTTTTCTTGCAATTATTTAAAATTTGATAATAATTAAAGGGACTAATTAATTTTGATAATTAATTAAAGTTATTTTGATATTAAGCCATTGCTCTAAATATAAGATTACATGGTTTTTGAAAGACATTACTGTCATGCATTTCATATTTCTCCATGAATTGGAAATCTTGGTTTTGTTATTGAATACCAGATTACTTATCCTTCGGATTGGGGCCCATTTAAAAATATTTGTCATGGATATTAATTACGATTATCATTCACGAGAAAAAAAAAAGTGAATAAGCATTTGGGGTTTAGGCCAAAGTATTCTTTGTAGCTTTCTTTATTTTTCTCTTTTCCCCTCACCTGAAAAATGACCGGTCCAATCATTATGCAAAAGATATTGTGTTGGCTGTGGTACATTGGGTACGTTTGATGCCACTGATCAGTCAGAGACTTGGCACGCGTGGCGCACGTGTGGGATGCATGGTGACAAGATATTTAAAAAAATAATTAAAAAAACTTTTGGGATGATAATTGAGAAAATATACAATAATAGGAAAGTTCCCTCCCACATCGGTTGGATGGGGTTCTTCAGCCTGGGTTTAAGGTCCATAGGAGTCTCGTCTAGGCACCAATTGGCCGAACGTGGGTTTTTTGTGGATCCCCTTTAGATTACTTTTGACTGGGTCGTTTAGCCACTAACTGGGGCGTTTAACCGCTAACTTCCTGAGTGTTTCTAATCTAATTGAGTGTGTGAGTTTCTGCCTCTTGACAGAAAAAAAAATACAATAATAGGAAAGTAGAACGATTCAACAATAATTCTTAGGCAAAAATTTGAGTAGACCCAGTATATGAACCTCATGTGTAGATAGGGTGATTCAAAATTTGCAACACCATCTCACCAATTTAAACATTAAATACACAGTGAAGATGTGAAAAAAAATTGAACCACTAGATCTATTAAACCAAGTCTATCCAAGTTTTTGCCTAATTCCTTATACACTAAGCCAATTTAGTTCTCTATCTTAAGCCACGGTGAGGCATGATTGCCGTGACATAATTGTCACCTGTTCGAAGTTAATTGAGAAAATTTTTAATTTAGTCCTCCAACCTTTTTACTTCAGCGTATTTTGTTTTCTATTTTTTATGAATTAATATTTTATTTACTAATAGTATAGTAATTTTTTTACACTAACAATTTTTAATGTATGCTACATGTGTGCATTTTTTGAAGTTTATATTTAAATTTATATTATGTGACATAATTTAAATATGCTAATATAAAGAAAAAAAATTATCCAATGGTAGCGTATAAAAAAGTTATCCATCTTTTGTTTGACAGTACTATTTAGTCCCTCAAATCTTTTTGGCCAATTTCGTCCTCAATGGCATTAAATTGTGTTTTTTGCTCACTTTCATGACCCAACTAAGGTCAATTTAGGAATTACAAGCCCAGTCATAAAAGAGGGGAACAGTACAAACTTTTCATTGTACTTTTGATAAACTTGAAGTGAAACGAAAACCAGTAAAGATCTGTTGTGGATTACACGGAGAGACAGAAACCGGATGACTGGGACAGCAGTTCGGACTTCGGTGACACTTCTTTTAGCAAAAGACAAAGTAAGATTCTAGCTGTCTTCCTGATAGGCCTACAAACATTACTACATGTAACATGTTCCGTAAATGGCATAAAGATCCATTTGAAGTTAGGAAATCACCAATTTAGTACTCCCAACATTTTTACCTCAGCCAGTTTAGTTGTTTATCTTTTATTTGGTATAAATTAGTCCCTTAACTTGGAGTTTTTAGCATATGTCTTCCTTACACGAATTAAATTGTGGTTTTACTCAAAATCTCCTCCCAACCAAAGCAATCGAGGAATTACAAGCCAAGTCTATATCAAAGAGAAGGAAAAAATAAATAAATTTTTTGTTGTATCTTAATATCTAGTAGGAAAACACAAATTCTCCACGACCCAGCAGTTAGAGATGTCAAATTGGATAATTTAGGCAACCTTGGACGAGTTGAAATGGGTAATGGATATATATGGATAAGTTAAAAAAATGAGTTGAGTAATTAAATTACTCCATTTATTTTAAATATATTAATTGAATTTGATAGGTTACTCAATAATACCTATTTATTAAATATGTATTATTAGATAACCCATTTATACTCATATGTAAGAAGTTAAGATAACCCATTTTCAGTTATTTATGGGCGAATATAAGTAAATTTAATTAAATGAATTTGTTTGTCACCTATGCCAACAACCATGTTACACAATCATTTTTAACATCCTTTCTTTTTGTTTTTTTTTTATCTTTCATCAATATATAATTTCTTTTATATATTTTTTTCTTTATATTGCTCGCTAATAATTTTTTTCTTTCTTTTCTCTAATATCTCTCGTCAATAATTTTACCCAAATAAATAATTTGGAGCCAACTAAGGCCCATTGGTTTATGAAAAACTTTTTTTTTCCTTTTCTTTTTTTTCTTTCTTTTTCTCTTTCTTTGTCTTTTTCTTTCTTTCCTTTTTCTTTTCTTTCCTCTCTTCTTCTTCTTCTTCCTTCCCCCTCCCCCTTCCCTCCCTCGCCATCTCTGCCTCCGACGTTGAAGAACCAGCAGATGCGGTTTGGTACCGCGAATGTTTGCGATCTGGTAGTGCGACCAGATCGCAGCTAGGGGAAGAGGGAGGGTGGCTGGGGTGGGGGAGGGAGAGGAAAAAAAAAAGAAAAAAGAAAAAAACATCACGGAGGGTCGCCGCGCGTCAGGAGCTTTCTTGTTGTCTGTTCTTGGGCTACTCCCCGAGCTGCTATTTGAAAGAGAGACGAAAGTTGACTTCTGTAGCACCCCAGTAGGAGAGCATCCCATCTGAGGGCTATCATCCCAGACGTCTGTCATGAGGTTCAGAGTAGTTGAGCTCTTGAAAGCTCCTGCGTTGCTAGAAGTGCTATTCAAAACCTCTCCCAATGACCCACCTAAAATTGAGGGGAAGTTTGGAATAGGTTGGCATTTTCGGAAGGGAGAGGGGGAGGGGGAGGGTAGGAGAGAGGGATATGGAGAGGGAGAAAGGAAAACAAAATTGTTCAGGCCGGAGCGGAAGCAGCGGCAAAGGTAGTGGCCGGCGATAAAGGTGTGATGGATCGGGGTGAGGGAGAAAGAAGAAGAAAAGAGGTGTATTAGATATTTTAAAATGTGTAAATTAAAAATTTTGATAAATTTTTTGAATTTATATAGCAAAAGTTATTAAAAAATTAGTAACATGCAAACTTACAAAAAAATTAAGGTTCAAACAAGGTTCCAAGCAAGGCTAAGTTTTGAGATAAACAAAAACTTGGATGGATAGATACGATCTACGACTCGTGCATAAATGGGGTGGTGCCCACATTATAATAATTCCAATCTCCCATCAGATCAAAGTACAGGCTTTAGCTTTGTTCATCTGCAACATCTGCAACATCCACAGCTTTGTTCACAACATGGTGTCCTGCAATTCACCATTGGGATTACAAGGGACAAGCACGAACCATGGGTAGGCATTGAAATCTGTCTAATAGGAGGAGCTCAGGAAACACACACAGGCTGGGCAATGCGTGAAACCAGTTCAGGATCTTTCTTGCTGGATGAAGCATTAGCTCTAAAATTGGCAATGTGTAAAGTTGCTGAAATGCAACACAGAGTGGTCCAATTCCAAGTGTAGAATCAGCAGCTCCTCAACCTTATTCAATCCAAACAAGCGCGGGATATCAGATTAGCAACTGTGGTGGAGGATATTATTTAACTTAGACTTTTGTTTCATATGTGCTCCTTTTGTTTAGTTCAAAATGATAACTATCATCTAAGCTCCAAACTTAGTACTTATGCTTTAGGCATTACTTTTGATGATCGCTTGTATAGTTTCATCGAGCCTTTGCTCGTACTTGTACATCTTTTGAAAAGGAATACAACCATATATCGTTTTAAAAAAAAAAAAAAGAAAAGGTATAAGGTAAAAAAAAAAGTACAGGCTTTAGATTCCTCGTCACAGTTCCAAATCCTGCTTTACCTTCCATGCGTACCCCAATCATTACTACGCCTTCATTAAAATCACTGCTCCCTTCCTATCCCAGTCATCATCACCATACTGTCCTCCACACATCTTTATTACTTCCTCTACCTTCCCTCCCCAAAAAATTGTGACCATTCCCTTCCTCCTCTATGCCTCCACCACCATTCTCCTTCTTCATGATTTCCTTCCATCTTTCATTTCCTGAGATGCTTTAGGGTTTTAACTTTTTTAGGGTCTATACAAGTTTTTGTCATTGTATCTTCCTTCAGGCACTTGGTACTGCTACTACTGATTTGAAAAAGGGGGAAAGAAAAAACCATGCGGGAAAGAAAGGAAGAAGATATCCTCCTCAAACTATGATCAATTTTCATTAGCAGTTAGCAAGAATACTACCTGTACAGTTGTACTCACTTTTTTCTTCCTCTGCGCCTAACTGTCTATATATATTATATACATACATATACTTGATCAAAAGCATTTTCATTGATTAATCAGTACAGTACGCACTACGCAGTAGTAGTAGTTTGTTTGTGGGCAGTAGAATGGGATCCGTATCAGCATCATCAAAGACTTTGACATTCAGGGTGACTAGACAAAAGCCTGAGCTGGTCCGTCCGGCCAAATCCACTCCTCGGGAATGCAAGCTCCTCTCCGACATCGACGATCAAGAGGCTCTTCGGATTCAAATCCCTTTCATCCAAGTTTACCGTAACCGCGATGATCCTGGCATTAATGAGAGCAGGAGGAGATCAGACCCCGTGAAGGTGATCAGGGAGGCTATTGCAAAGGCTCTGGTGTTCTACTACCCGTTGGCAGGGCGTCTCAGAGAAGGCCCTGGAAGAAAGCTGATGGTTGAGTGCACGGGAGAGGGTGTTCTTTTCATTGAAGCCGATGCAGACGTGACGCTGGAGCAGTTTGGGGATGCAATTCAGCCTCCATTCCCATGCCTGGAGGAGCTCCTCTATGACGTTCCTCACTCTGGAGGAATCCTTCACTGTCCTATAGTGCTTATACAGGTACAACCCTACAACTGTACGACTCTTTTCTTTTTTCGGTTCGTGAGCGCCAGCACTTCTTCCCTGTTTGTCATGTCACATAGATCTTGCCTAGATTCTTCCAAGTTTTTCCAAAGAAGGGGTAAGTTGATAGTTGAATCACTTGGCAATACTACCTACTTTCTTTTAATTATAGAAAAGTACTACACTCTTTTTGGTATTGAATCCATGGTTCTAATTCACTTGTACTTTGACACATCATTTAGTAGTTTAAACTTTTAAAATAATTTTAAAATTGGTAACCCTATTTGATGGAGAATTTAATCTCACTAGTACATTAGCTAAAAGGGACAGTAAAACTCCCCTTAATTATATAGTGCTTCTTTTATCAATACTACAAAAGAAACAGAAGAATGTTGGTTAGGAAAAATTACACCACAGACAATCAAATCTTTGGTTCCTTACAAGTAACACCTTATTTCTCATTATTATAGCTCTTTTAACTTGTTGGATGTGGCATTCACTACCTAGACTATAAAGTATAAAGCAAATTATAAAAAAAAAAAAAAAAAAGGGAAGAAGAATATAAGAGCCCATTTGGATTGGAAATTTGCATGTAAAAATTTTCGAGATATTCTCTTAAATTCTTTATTTTGTTCTTTTTGAGCGCCCTTTCAATCAAGGCTCCAAAAAATAAACTTCCAAGAAGGTGGGTAGGGGGATTAACATGTACTACTATTTGATGGAGCCTCAGCCCACAGGAGGACAAGCTTGTGGCATGTAGGCAAATGGACGGGACTGGTTATCAGGTTTGGTTGCATCTAGACTGTCGGCTGTGTTCAAAATAATGCCCCGCAAGTCGGCTTGGTCTTAACCACCAGCCCAAAGGCTCGAACCTTTAAGGCTCGAACCGTTGCCTCCTATCAATTGCCACGTTATAATGTGAATTTGGTTCAAAAAATTCAAGCAGGTGCACTACGCATCCGTTTGATCCGGTGGTGATTCAGTAACCTCCGGGTTACTCCTGGACCTCCTTAAGTCCACCCCTTCCCCCTAATGTATGATAGATTAAAATATACTACAGTTGTCGTCTCCGAAAAAAAAAAAAAAAAAAATCGGTCTGGCCTTATTCACCACCCAATCATTAGGCAGTTGGCACTACTATATTTTGTTCTTACACTTCCAATCAATTACTCAGCACCAGTAGGAATTATGTAAAATGTCTCCACAATTATTGTATGAAAAATGTTACTATCGTGATTCAGAGTAACAATTTAGATGAAACTTATAGGTAATTCTGTCAGAGAATTCGTAGGAGCTGATCTAATAGGGGTTTCTACCCCCGGTTTGATTTCTTGCTAAGGTGCTCTAGCCTTCCCTACGTACCCAAAAAAACAAAAACTTTAAGGTAGATTATAAATTCTTAATTATTATGAGTAGTACTACCTCTGTCTCGTATATTTAGTCATGTTTGAAGATATATACTTTTTCTGCATAGTATACTCCATTAAAAATTTTTTGCTTTTGTTCCACTTTTAGCTTTAATCATGTGCTAGTCAAAATAAAAAATAAAAAGCAATCCTATCATATTTGTCTTTATGCATCATTATAAAATAGTTAAAAATGTTAAACATGACAAACATTTAGCCAAAAAAAAAGTACAATACTTTTAATAGGACGGAGGGAGTAATTAAAAGTCATGTTAGTAGTTAATAGTGTACTATTTTCATATTAGAGTCTTGTTTGCTATCAAATTCAAGATTCAAATCCATTACCAGCAGTTAGGGGTGAAAAGAGTGTGGAGAGAGATAAGAAGATTAAAAAATAAATAAATAAATAAAAATAAAAACTAATTAACTAGTTAAACTATAATATTCACCCATCATATGTATATAATGGTAATGGTATTATCATACAACGTAACACAGGTAACTCGTTTAAGATGCGGCGGTTTCATCTTCGCACTACGCATGAATCACACCATTGCTGATGGTGTTGGAATCGCTCAATTCATGAATGCTGTGGGAGAAATCGCACGGGGAGCGTCCGCCCCATCTATACAGCCAGTATGGCAGAGGGAGCTCCTGTATGCTAGAGACCCGCCAAGGGTGACGTGCACCCACCACGAATACGAGGAGGTAGTCGTCGATACCAAGGGAACCATCGTTCCCCTGGACGACATGGTCCATCGCTCTTTCTTCTTTGGTCCGGCAGAGGTCTCAGCTCTGAGAAAATCCATCCCTCTTGACCTCAGTCACAAGTGTTCGACGTTTGATATTCTGACAGCCTTCCTTTGGCGCTGCCAAACCATCGCCCTCCAATACGATCCCAACGAGGAAGTCCGCGTGATCTGCATTGTTAATGCCCGCTTCAAGTTCAATCCACCCTTGCCCCAAGGATACTACGGCAATGCCATAGCATATCCAACGGCGCTGACGACGGCCGGACAGCTATGTGAGAAGCCTGTGGGATATGCAGTGGAGTTGGTGACCAAGGCCAAACGTGTTGTGACGGAAGATTACATGAAATCTGTGGCTGATTTAATGGTTATCAAAGGGAGGCCTCGTGTCACTCTGGTGAGGACTTATCTTGCATCGGATGTTACCCGGGCTGGGCTCAATGAGGCGGACTTTGGTTGGGGGAAGCCGGTGTATGGGGGGCCGGCCGAAGGTACTGTGGCCAGCTTTCACATACCCTTCAAGAACAAGAAGGGGGAGACAGGAAGAGTAGTTCCTATTTTTCTACCAGGTCTTGCAATGGACAGATTTGTGAACGAGCTGGAAAACTTCTTTTTGAGCCACAATGTGAGGCCCCATTTCCGCCGTACCACATCGAGACTTTGAGGAATGAAATAATCAGTTTGAAGGGTAAATTACGTGTAATGTGAGCTCCTTGTAGTTTTATCAACTATTATCACATGATCTCCTAAAGTTTTAAAATATCCACTTCACCCCCTTATACTTTTATGTAAAGTGAAGGCTTGTGGAAAATAGCTATGTAATGTTATTAGTTGAAATATCGCCAGCGTCCTTACTTAAAGCTATTGATTACTGCTGCTGCTGCTAGTTTAATGTAGTATTATATAAAATAATTTTGCTTATCTTCACTGCTTTGTATGTACTTGTGCTCGTGCATAATTTGTGCTAATATTATTGGTTTTGATGATACAAATTTCCTGCGGCCTTTTTCTCACAGAATTTGTAAAAGCCTCCAATTTTTTCCAGTTCCAAGTAAACCAAATGTAAATTTTCTCCATTTTTTTTTTTTATGAGCATGCCAATACATTTTTTTGATGATTGGTCCATGGTTGTTCGTGAAGCAATGCTAAAATTTGTCATTTCTATGGAGGTGATACATCTTCTTGCAATGATGATTGCCGCCACTGAAACGCCATGGAAAGCAATTAAAGAACAAGAAAGAATGGCAATGGCTTCTGCCAACTCCGACAGGGGAGGATAGCTTTTGTGGAAGTTGCAGAAAGCCACCAACAAAGCCACTAAGACCTCGAGCAAGATCAAGGGAAGAGCCATCTTTTATTTTAGTACATGATATAGGTTATCTATACCCTCGTGCAAAGCACGAGCTGTACTTCAGTTTGTAACAGAAAATTCAACACAGTATCAAGGAAAGAGCCAATCTTTTAGTTCGTAAAAGAAATTAAAACCCTGGAAAGAAGCTCTACTTACTATCAGCACAAAAACTCTTTTGTTGGTGCCTGCCTCAGACTGAAAGGTATGCCCATAAGGATTGGTTGGCTCTGAAGGACCATTATGGGAACAATTGATAGAAGGATTCGTTTCAACAAATCTTGGATCACTAGGTTCTCAATCTTTACATTCTGTCTCAGTTATCAGTGACAGAGAAGCAGAGGAAGTCCCATTGATAGTGTTTGGATGATCAGCTTGCAGGATTCACTCATGCATGAGATATATTCATGTCAGATACTAACAAGAACAGAGCAGAGGAAGATACGATTAACATATATGTTGTGTATAATTTTGATGCATAACTGTATTATATTGCTGTGTCGAAATACATGAAATATTAAATTAATATATATATATATAAACTTTTCTTAAAACATAATAATATAATGTGATTGTATACTAAGGGTTAAATAATGTTACAAGCACAATAATCGCACTGAACTAATTAAAACGAAACCATACTAACCCTGTCCAAGAAGAACCACATTTCATTACCAGTGCTGAAATTAGGCTTCACTTCTATTAGAAAGCAAACTGATTCTGCTAGCAGAAATGGCCAGACTTTGATAACAACAATTGGCAATCACATTGAGCTAATTGGAAGAAAGTTGAAAAACAGAGACAGACTTAAGTTAAACAGTGGAACCCAAATAAGCAAATCAAGCAAAGAAATTGAAAAATAAGATAACAACAATTAGCTATTGAAACTGATTAATCAACCAGCTGAAGCAAATGTTTGTTGACATTAAGTGCCAATCACCATCCCAAAGTAAAAAATGTACAGATATGTAGATGAAAAGGTTGCAGCATCACTAAAACACTCGTATCAGTAGCTCTATATATGATGGAAACAATCACAAATGAAATGCCTTTCATGAATCAAGACCAATTCAAATGAGCAAAACCATCAGAAAACCAAGAACCAAAAACACGAGTATCCAACGGCGTTAAGAAAAGACTTGGGAGAAAAACACGCTATTATTCCTTCTCTCAGGCACTTATACACACATCTATCTTTTAAGTCTCTGTCGCATACGTGTTTTCTATATTAGGTATGTACAGCTGATTAGGATTAGAAACTAATATTTGAAAAAGCAAATTTGTTACTACATACATTTCTAAACAGTATAGTGGAACAACTCTTGTGCGTATTGTAATACATGAAAAGTTGCTTGTACAACTTTGCAATTGAAAAAATGTTATATTTAGTAAACATTCATGTAAGTTGCATAATAGTTATGTGGCGTTCTACAAATAGCAAATTGTGCAAAGTTTGGACCACGAACAGCCCTAGACCGTCCAAGCCCTCAGTCCAGGAAAACCACCCTCTACTTTAACCAATTTTGTGGTCAAGAACAAGGCTTTAATAAAGTGTATATGACAAAGAGTACTTTAACGTCTATGAAATCAAATGCTACTGTCTATTTTCAGAAGGACATGGTTCACTCATATAGATGGACAATTTTAATCTACTACTTGTTTTTAAGGCTAGCAATAGTAAATATCCTTATACTATATAAGAATGGGTTGTGATTAAAAGGGACTTTGAATTTCAATCGCATGGATAAGAATTTTTTTGAAAATATAAAATGTTATGTTATTTTTTTAAAACTTTTGATATAATTGAGAACAACATGTGGTTGAGCATGTTTACCGAAATGTCCTGATTTTGATACATTTAAAACTTTGATTTATGAAGAACTTTGAAATCTCAACTTAATTGTTTATGGACTTGTGTATTAATAGTGTGTGCTTTTCCCATTAGTTCTTTATTATTAGGCATGTCATTCTGGTCGGAAAATTATTGGTTTATATAGGGTCCAATTTTATAAAACTCGAATCCAAACTCAAGCCATTACCATGGGAGTTGCTGAAGAAAACTTTTTCCTCCATGCAATAGAATCAATCATGAGCCCTCCTGCTAATTATGGACAAAATTTAGGCTAGTGAAATACCACAGGAGGTCGACCAAAAAGACCTAGTACATTAAATAAAATTTACCCAAGTTTGTCCAAAATATATTTATTGTAAGATTGATGCTCTTTGACAAAATTGTGGCCTCTTAATAGATGCTTGGGCTTTTTCCCCCTCCTACAGGGATCTAAAAACATATAATGAAAATGGGGGAGGAGACTAGTGCCTTCTTTAATGAAAGAGAACCTAAAGTCTTGGGCTCTGTTCAGATACCATAACGGGTAAAAACGAGGGGGTGAAGGTCCAAAAACAGAAAAAAGACGAATATGGTTTTGTCCAACCACAATTGCGATAACTCAAAGATCTTTTAAGTTTCATGTCTTAATTTTCTACACTTCTATCGTCAGATGCTTAGTAGGGTTTACGTTCTTAAATTGCTTCTGAATTTTTTGTTTCCATTAAAATCATAGAATTCGTGTCGATTCAATTTTATGAATAACCTTTCTTGTTAATAGAATCAAAAATCTTGAACTTTTTTTTTTGGTGGTAATGAGGGCAGATGGTCAATTTGACAGAAAATTCGATGATTGGACAAAATCCAATCATCAAAATCCTTGTTTTCTCATCTTATCTTGTTCTCATTTGCCTTCCCCATTTCCACACCTTCATAAACAGGTTGCGGGGAAAAAAAAATTGCATAAACAAAGAGGCACAAGCTCCTTTTATAGAAGCTAATTAATCATAACAAATCCATACATAAGTCTCTGAAACACTGCCAGTTGATAATATTACAATACATACCATACCATACAGGAATATCTTTAAATTTGGGAGAGTTGCTTAATATTCATGGGGTAGACTTCAGCTCTGGAGTTGGAATAATATGCCTTATTTGCAATAACAGCATTTGCAGTTTCAGTAGGATGCAGCCCATCAAAGAAAACGTTACTTCTCCTATTTGAACAAATTGATCCACCTCTCTTGCAAAGAGTTCCAGTCCCACCTTCTTCTATCGATGGCACTTTGCAACAAGCATTTTTGGCATCTTCGAAACCTGCAGATTTGATGCTTGCAATTTTGTAGATGTTTGGAAAAATTAATTTCATGCATATATGAACAAGTACTCCATATTGTATTAATTGGTCCAAAGGAAGAAAGGGAGAAAAAAAACCACACAGACACACCCTTGAGGATTTTGAGCCAACAGCAAGCTAAGTTAAGAATTAATTAGTTGGAGGCTACCAAATTAAACAAAAGGACTCAATGTTGATGATCAATTAGACATTGGAAAAGGTTTCTTTGGGTACCAAAGGTACCATAAATGTTAGGATAAATATCTATTTACTCCCCTGTGATTTCACGTATAACCAACACGACACCGTTAACGTTTTAAAATAAGCACATAGCCTCCATGATTTTATATAAAGTTAAAACTAGGTAGAAAGCAACTCTTTTACGGTGAATGGGCTCTAGAAACACACGTGCTAAATTGATAATGTCCACTTAAATTCTCTACTGTTTTATACTTATGATTTTATGCAAGGTGGTTAGTCCCCATTCTGTTAAGTAAGGTCAAAGCTATAATTTTAATTGACAATGTTGTAGAGGTTTGATTCTTTCAAATATCTACTTTACAAAAAATTATGGAGAGTTATTTGAATACTTTTAAACATTAAAAAGTTCAAGACAAAACCACGATGGCATGCTATGGAGATACAAATACCTGTTACATGTATCATAAACAATGAGGGGCTTGCGATGGATAATTGATATAGCATATGTGTTTTGAACAAAATTCCATGCATATGTTGCACGGTTTAATTTCGTATAGTGCAAGAGTACAGAGACACAGAGAAAAGTTATCACTGAATAGTGTAACGTTGCCATTGGCAAAAGATAGTGTGTTATAATAGAGACAGGAAGATTACCTTTTGATGACGGCTCTTTTATGATATCCCTAACAATTTTGTACGAGTTAACATAAACAAGCTTGGAAGCAGGCAATTCTAGTTGGATTTCATCCACCATGGCCTTCAGGTTGGTGTTAAAAAGATGAATAGCTCGATTTACACTTTGTATGCAACGTTCATGCATTGGAATCATGGTCCTGGCCATTGGGGTGCATCCGTTTGGGTTCACAGACATGAGTACGAACTTTCGAGCTCCCAAATTATACAGCCTCTGATTTGGTTTTTTTAAAAAAGAACGAACAATTACTAAATCAAATCATAATTATAAATCGTTGTTCTGAAAACTGATTAGATGAAAGACATATAAATGGATTAAATTCACTTCTCATTATTGTTAGAGTAAACTTTCTGCTTAATTTGCACGTTCATGTGCCTTGCAATTTGGTCTATATTGTCAATGAAGTTGATATAAAAGGGGCAATTGCTTTAGGGGTGCAAAGTTGAACAAACCCTCCATAAATTTCAAAGTGATCGTACCATATCTACTTTTTTCTTTCTACTTCTTGAATAAAAAAAATGACCCCTCTGGCATGATATAGAAATATTCCTCTACTTCTAGAAGAGAGCTGGGACAACTGCATGAGTAAGTTAGCATGATATAGCTCTAGAAGTCCCCTC